GAAAAAAAATTTACTATAGAAATGTTTATTAATAAATTGCCTATCCATTGGTGTAAATCGCAAAATAAAATAATACTTACTTTACGAGGAGATCCATGTTATCAATAACAATTTCACATTTATGTGGTTTCGTTGTAAGGAGATTATATTAATATTTATTCGATTAAAAAAAAATTGGATATAGCTTTTATGGAATCAAGATTATGTAGAAATATAATGTGTTTTTTATTTGTTGATATATCTTATAAATAAAAAGTAGATAGCTTCTAAAAACCGCCCAAATAACGACTGGCGCGACTTTTTGCTCAACCTGCGCCTTAAATGAATACAAACAAATTAGATGACAAATTTTAACAATATCAACAAACAATTCAGCATTTTTATCTCTGTCTAGGTTGTTAAGCTTTCTCAAGATTAATAATAATCAACTACGTCATATAATTTTAATTCTCTATCTCTAGTAGTGTCTGAACTCTTAATCATCAATGACAATTTAATTTTTATATTATATATATTTTTATAATCCACGACGTTTTCTGCCATTAGGGCGGGAAATGAGGTGAATGAGAATTTGACAGATTTCATACATTAATTTGTTAGAAAAGTGTAAAGATTGTATCTTTCTGAAAAATTAGTTGTATTTTATATGAACTAGATTGGGAATGAGTAAACCAAGTTACAGACAATCCTTAAGAAGTAAAAGAATTTAAAATTCTAGCATTGGGGCATTGTTTTGTTTATATACAACATATGTTGTAATATCAACTGAAAAACTTTTAATTACAGTTTTCAGTTTCTGTTTTCAGTTTTGCAGTTTTCAATGATGATGACACTGTGAACATCTGTATAACAAATAAGTATAACACCTTAGCTGGTGAGCGTAGGATTATTAGCCGTTATTGACTGAAGTTTTTTTTTTTTAATTTAAAAAAAATGCGTGAAGTGTCAAGTACTCAATTATTTAAAATAAGAATATATTAACTGTATAGTAGCGGTGTAAGAATATCACTCCATATCTTACCGTGGGTGTCAGGCCACAGAGGGAAACTGAAACAGGAGGCGGGCAGCAGTATCTCCCTGATAACAGCTTAAAATAATAAAAAACTGTGGTTGCCAACCAAGCCTGGCAACTATGGAAATAGGCTGTAATGGATGAATTAAAAATATATTGAAGGCTAATGTGTTGGCTGCAGGTGGGGTCGGTAGCGGGCGGCTCAGGGCAGCGGGACAGCCGACGCGGCGGGCCGCAGAAGGCGGGCCAGCAGCGCGCGAGGCCCACGTCCCGCACCCGCCAGCGCCTGCCCAGCGGCGGCGCGGCCCCCGGCGCGGCGCCCGCGCAGGCGCAGCCCAACGCTGCGTCGCAACCACAGCACCAACAACAGCAGAACCAACAGCAGAACCAGCAGCAGATGCAACAACAGCATCATCATCGTCAACCTGGTAATTATTTTTACTACTTGCACAGTTCAACAGTTTTATTACACACAGTATACTGCCACTATTGCAATTGGTAATCGTAATTTTAAGCACTGATTAGCCATATGCTCCTGTACTAAAGGATACATTTTTAGAGGAAACTCTCTGAGAAATTTATAATATTTTGAAGATATGTGATTCAGCCAGATTATGGCTCCAGCCAAAACCAGTATTCATATAAAATGCTTGTTTGTCCAAGATCCCGATTCTGGATGTGACAGGAGCTCTTGGGTGATGAGTATATTGATTTAATTGAATTCAAAAATGAAAATCTTGATTTTTATTCGTAATTGCATATAATTTAAGAACTAAACATGCAATAAAATTTCTATATAAAAAAAAATTAATGTGTAACATTATAGTATAATATAAAGTATTGAACCATTATGGGGTGGTATTGGGCTTGTCTGTTCACATTTAAATTTTTGCCCCCTCCCGAGCTATTTGTCACTGTTGCTTTTCGATTTGCAGTAAACACAACAATGCCAACTTTAAAAGTTTTCAAGTTTGGTTATGTTGTGGTTTTGATTGAAAGCACTATGTCAACATAAAATGATATTAAGATCTTTTTACAGTTCTGCTGTAAGGAACCCTTTATATTTTTATCAATCTGTCCTAATTTGTCACAGTATTACAATTTGTAGTGCTTTTATCGAAATTAAATAAAAATGCATAAGTATATTATCCTTTAGAAAATAGTCTTCTAAAAGACAAGGTTTCACAAAGTTTTTTTAGACATTTAACTAAGATTTTGTAATATCTACGTATATAATATAGTGTTTACGTTTGTCTGTGTTGGTCAGATTTGACTAGGCATTCTTTTTCTCTATAACCTCAGTGGTACGGTGAAGCCTTTAGAAAACTGGAAAGTTGTTTATCAAATTTCATATTTTCAAAATATTGAATAAGATGAAAATACCATGTCTGAATGATTTTTTGCCTAAAATATAAATGATTCAGAATTTAATGACAACTTCTTTCTATCTACTCAGGTCAGGGCTATGGTCGTGGAGGCTGGCGGGGCCGACCGCGTGGTCGCGGACGCGGCTTTGTGCCTCGCAACAAGAACACACTGAAATTTGACAATGATTATGATTTTGAACAAGCCAATACCGAATTTGAAGAACTGCGCAGCCAATTTGCCAAAACAAAGATCTCAGAGGGAGAGACCAAGGTGGAGGTAAAATGGATTTTTGTTTTCGTCATATATTATATTTTAGGTACATATTTTTTTTCTTCATTAAACTGAAATATTTTCTCATTTTGGTTGTTAACAGCTTATTATGCCGATAAGCTGTTTTTGTTTAAATTAATTCTTTTCCCGTTTTACCACTGTATTAATTGTTTTATGACAAAAATTTCATTTTTGTTAAAAAAGCAATGTAAAATAGTATATAAATTTTGAATGAAATATATTTAGTATGCACCAGGCGAAACATTGTTTTATTGGGTTAGTAGAACAATGGTTTCAAAACCTACTCTCGTGGTCTTTATTGATTGCGACGTTACACGAGTAAGTGTACAACCACAATATTTTAAGAAAAGCCCCATGTCCAACAGTGACATGCAAATGATAAGATTTATTAAATAAAAAAAATACTACTTTATGATAAAAATTTATTTAAAAAAAAAGTCCCACTGAGTTTCTTGCTGGTTCTTTCCCGGGACAGAGGATTTTTTTCAAATCAGTGGTAATGTAAAGACTTTCAATAAGAATAATAAAATAATAATCAATATTGAATAAAAACTATTCTATTCTATTCTAATTATTCTATTTTATTCTATTCTAATATTATTGTAGGGGACTGCAGTAGACTGTATGATTTTATTGTGTGACGACTGATGTTATTTTAATGTGTAGAGTAAACTATACTAGGGATGGTTGAAGAAAAGATGGTATTGTAGACGATTATGTATTGCACTATTTACAAGCGGCTTTTAATGCAATTGCAAAAAAAATGTAAGCGGTCTTCAATGGAGTATTCTTTCTTGAGGTTTTCTCTCTTGAGGTCTTCTTTCTTGATGTAGTATCTCGTAGTGCTGCTTCCGAAATGAACAGCTCACAGCCCAAAACGCCCTTCTTATATTTCCAAAAAGAGTGTCGGCACGTGAGTGGTATTATAAGATGTGCAGCGCGCTGATTGGTCGACGGGATCGCGTGATCTTCAAGCGGTGTGCGGGGTGCGCGGGGCGCAACGGGGTATGAAGGGGCGGCGGCTCCCCTCGCCGTCCGTAACATTCTCCCCCCGGCGTAGCAAGCAAGCCTAATCTTCTCTCGAGAGGACGACGATCTTCCTCACTGGTCGTCGCAGCACTCCGGATCTCGACGTTGCGCACCACGCCGTCAGGTCCGGGAAACGTCCTCGTGACGATCCCCCTCGGCCACACGTTCCACGGTAGGTTGCCGTCCGCAACCACAACGTGGCTCTTTTCTTTAATTTCCTGTCGCTGGGCGTCCCGGGAAGCTCCGCGTGCGACCAGCGTCGGCAGGTACTCCCTCACCCAGCGCCTCCAGTACTCGTCGGCGAGCCCCTGCGCCGCTCTCCACGCTCGACGATCGACGGGTGAGCACGGCGCGGTGACTGGTAGGCTCGACGGTTCCAACAGGATGAAGTGGTTGGGTGTTAATGCCTCTTCGTCATTGATGTCGACCGGGTCAACGGTCGAGAGTTGACGGTGTTTTCTGCTTCCGTTAAGAGCGTCGCTAGAGTCTCCTCCCTTGGACTCTACTGATGGAGAGTGGCTTCCAGCGCTGTCTTCACCGACCGCACGAGACGCTCCCATGCGCCTCCTTGGTTAGGCGCGCCCGGTGCGATGAACTTCCACTCCGTGCGTCGGGTCAGCGCGTAGTCCTGTAGCTGCGGCGCCCACTCTTCCATCGCCCGTCGTAGCTCTGCATCTGCTCCATGAAAATTGTGCCGTTATCTGAATATATGACCCGTGGCCACCCGCGCATAGCCGCCATGCGCCGCAATGCCGATATCGCCGAGTCTGTCGTTAGGGAGTAAACTAGCTCTAGATGAACCGCGCGCCTCGTTCAACACGTAAACAGTGCTACCCACCGCTTTTCGTGCCGTCGTCCTATCGTAACTATCAAAGGCTCGAAATAGTCGACTCCGGTGTAAGTAAACGGTCGCGCAAACGCCTCTAACCGTTCGGGTGGTAGGTCTCCTGTTACCGCGGGCCGTGGTGTTGCCTTGCGTACTCTGCATCGCAGACATCTCCGCTTCACTTCTCGTACGGTCGGTCGTAGTTGGAGGATATGATATCTGGTACGTAAGTCGTTGACCACCCTCTCTCTGTTGGCGTGGCTTGCCTCCTGATGCGCCTTCTCTATAAGCAGCTTTACAAACTGGTGGCGTCCATTCAATATGACGGGTCGCTTCATACGGTTGTCCACGTCGGCTGCGTCGATTCTTCCCCTGGCTCGAAGTATGCCGTCTTCAAGTATGGGGTCGAGCTTCCTAAGTGCGCTGCCGGTGGCTAGATTCTTCCCCTGCTGAAGTCGTCTGATATCTCCAGCGAACCTGTCGAGTTGACTGCGTTCCACCCACATCCGCTCTGCCCTCTGGATGTGCTGCAATGTTAATCCTTGTGCCCTTCCTCGTATGGCATCGATGAACTGCAGTACTCGTGCTGTTGCCCTGATCAGTCTCTCGTAAGAAGAGAAGCATTCTATGTCTGGCAGTTGTGCAGCGTCCTTGGTGTCGCTCTGATGCGCCACGATTTCCTCCAACTCTTCATCATCCCCTGCCTTCTCTTCCTTCCGGTGAGGCCATCTGTCTTCTTCCTCGTAGAGAAATGACGGTCCTGTGAACCATTGGTCGTTTTCTCCCTTGCTCACGAAGTTCATGCGCGTCGATCGTCGGTCGATCTGCTATGTTCTCCGCAGTCGGTATCCACCTCCATTGCTCGGGTGATGTCTTCTCGGCTATCTTCCCTAATCGATGAGCTACGTATGGAGTGTAACGCGCCGTATCGTTCTGTATCCATTGGAGCGCCGTAGTAGAGTCCGTCCAATAAACGACCCTACCTGCTACCACTCTGTGTTCGTCCTGTACGAATTCCGCGAGTCGCGCACCTATCAAGTTCGCCTGCAACTCTAGTTGCGGTATACTCTGCGCCTTAATCGGAGCTACTTTCGCCTTGGCCGCCACTAATCTTACCCTAAGCGTTCCGTCGCGATATCGTATACGCCAATATGCTGCGGATGCGTACGCGCGTTCACTTGCGTCGTTAAAAATGTGAAGTTGACGCTCTACGACTCCCCCCGTAGGAGCATAGCACCTTGGCAGGCGCAGTCGTGACACCTCCTCGACGACTCGCAGCCACCTCTGGAACTCATCCGCTGCCTCCTCGGATAGTTCATCATCCCATCCGACCTTCTTCATACGCCATAGGTCTTGTAACAGGATCTTGGCGGTGATGGTGAGGTAGCTGAGCAGTCCCAGTGGGTCAAACACCGACATGACTGCGCTCAATGCCTCCCTCTTGGTCGGTGGTCGCTGTAGCGCCTTTACTTCCTGTGGCACCCGATTAATAGATGTATCAAAGGTCAGGGCGTCTTCGTCGGCCATCCACAGTAACCCTAAGGTCCTTCCCGGGCCATCTTGCCTTAGGCCCACCTCCTTAGGCGACAGCGCGCTCCTCTTCCCGTCGCGGCCTACTCTTAAGCGAGATGCCTATAGAATCTATCTCATACTGCCGTTTGAGGAGATCTGTTAGCTCCTCGTCCTGACTGACGAACGTTTGGATGTCCGTCCGCTAGTCCTTGCCATTTGTAGTACCGTTTCGCTATCTTGTCTACACGTTACCTGCGGCACGGTCCCTTGAATCACCCACCCTAATAACGTCCTTGCAGCTATGGGCTGCCTCCGGCGTCCTATCCTTAATTACGGGTGATTATTAAATGCCAGTTGTCGGCTCCTAATAATACTCTCGGCTTCGCGTCGTCGTAACATACCGCACTCGGTGAGTCGCGTAAGTGCTTCAACCGCAAGCACTCCCTACTCACAGACTGCGAGCCTATCTTTAAATTCGTTATCATTCGCGCACTTATACTATAAATTTCACTGCGCGTCTTGCCACGTATTCCTATGTTCACTAACCTATCGGCCTCGCGTTGATTATTATTTACGCCTCTAATATTGAGCGGCTTTGTTGGTCCTTCCGCTTCTAACTCGCGAGCTAAGTCGTTGTCGGTCAACGATATGGTGGAGCCTTCGTCGAGTAGCGCATATGTATCTACTTCCTTACCACGCGGTCCGCGCACGGTAATGAGGTACACTATCAATAATACCGACGCACTACTGTCAACGTTTGACGCGACGAGCACGGTTACGTCCGTGTTTTCCGACGTTTCAGGCGTCCGGGCTTTGCGGGTGTGAAGGAGGCCATGGTGGGGGGCTTTGCAGCCGTCAATGCCTGCAACTTTACAAGGCGCAGGTTCGGCCTCACATGGAATACTGTTCCCATCTCTGGGCTGGGGCTCCCCAGTGCCAGCTTCTTCCACTTAACCGCATCCAGCGCAGAGCGGCTCGAATCGTCGACGACCGAGTCCTTTCCGATCGGCTCGACTCATTGGCACTGCGAAGAGATGTTGCATCTCTTAGCATTTTCTTTCGCATTTACCATGGGGAGTGCTCTGAGGAATTGTTCGGATTAATCCCAGCCGCCAAATTTCACGAACGCACATCGCGGCAGAACTCCCGATACCATCCACACCATCTGGATGATTCGCGGTCCACCACTGTGCGATTTAGAAGATGTTTTCTTCCTCGCACAACTTCCTTGTGGAATAGTTTACCACCAGCGATTTTTCCGGACCGATACGACTTAGAGACCTTCAAGAAAAGAGCCTACTCCTTTTTAAAAGGCCGGCAACGCATCTGCAATTCCCCTGGTGTTGCAGTTGTTCATGGGCGGCGGTAGTCACTTACCATCAGGTGAGCCGCATGCTCGTTTGCCCCCTCTCCTATAAAAAAAAAACTTCCTAGCCTTACACCTAAGGCGCCGGTGTTTGCTGCTTAAACACACCCCATCTTCCCTTACCCACTTCCATCGGTCGTCCAGACCCATTTGTGCCAGCTTCTTAAATTTGGCGATTGGGTGTTCACCCCCGCAACACATACACGGGACACTTCCGTTGTCCTCCTGTGTGGTGAACGTCTTTACGTCGCGGGCCCTATCCTCTACGCGGCGTGTCAACACTATCCTTTTCGACGGCGGTGCTTTTCGTCTTACGGGCGATTCCTTAGTCGGCGTTACGGATGTATAGGCGTGACTTAACGCACGGTCAGCCTCTCTCATCTTAAACCGGGATAATGTGACAATGTTCGGTTCGTCCGCACTTCCGTAGTGCTCCGCATAATCGCACCAACGCGACCGTAAGTGGGGGCTTAGTTTACTCGTGACCTCCCCTAGTTAGCATCGGATTTTGTAAATATCAGTTGCCGTTGACGTTCTGCATTATACATACCATATTTTGCAATTTAATAGCGAACGAGTTTAATTCCTGGGCGGTTTGACCCGGGCGCGAAAGGCGTTTTAACTCATCTAACGTAGACGTAGTATTGTCAGAAACGTGGATAAAATTGGTTAACCGACGAACTTCGAAGAAGAATCTTCTTTCTTCTGTATGGTCTTCGGATCTTCCAGCTTCGATCTTCTGGCTTCTATCCGGCGACGATGGAACAAGAATTGTAGGGGACTGCAGTGGACTGTATGATTTTATTGTGTGACGACTGATGTTATTTTACTGTGTAGGGTAAACTATACTAAGGACGGTTGAAGAAAAGATGGTATTGTAGACGATTATGTATTGCACTATTTACAAGCGGCTTTTAATGCAATTGCAAAAAAAAGGTAAGCGGTCTTCAATGGAGTATTCTTTCTTGAGGTTTTCTCTCTTGATGTAGTATCTCGTAGTGTCGCTTCCGAAATGAACAGCTCACATCCTAAAACTCCCTTCTTATATTTCCAATAAGAGTGTCTCGGCACGTGAGTGGTATTATAAGATGTGCCGCGCGCTGATTGGTCGGCGGCATCGCGTGATCTTCGGGCGGTGTGCGGGGCGCAATGGGGTATGAAGGGGCGACGGGGAGGCGGCTCCCTTCGCTGTCCGTAACAATTATGTAATATAAAATATTAAATTTTGCCATCTTTACTGATGTCATATTAGTGTGATGTACAGGGTGAAGTTGACAAGAAAGATGACTCCGGCAATGAGACTGGTGCTGGTGAGCCTGAGGTGGATGATGACTCGGCCTTCACTGGTTATGATAAGAACAAGAGTTTCTTTGATAACATCTCCTGTGAGGCTGTCGAGAGGTAATTTCTTTAATGACACTTTTTTTTTCTTATTAAGATAAAGAATGACAGTAATAGGCTTATTTTTCTATAACTTAAATATTTACCAGTATGTTTTTTTTATTTGTCAGCTATTCTAGAAAGGATTTAAAAGTCCTGGAGTCTAGAAAATGTAAAATTATTTTGGTAATTTGTTGATACAAGGAATGAAGTTATTTTAAAGACTATATTAAGTGAAGTAAATAACTTTTATATTATTACAATGTTTTCATAAACAACTTTTAGCCATTAAATAAAGGTTTAGAAATGATATTATAATTATGTGGAAAATCTAAAATATGAATCTATAGATACATACTGATACATATATAAACACTATAACATTTGAGCTTCAGCAAAAAAAAATAGAGATAATCTAATAAAATATTCTGAATGTGTTTACACATCCTAGCTTTAACATTATTTTTGCTTATTCTATGAAAACCAGTAAAAGTTTTATAAATATCATGATTCAAAGCCTGTGTGCCACTGTAGGAATTTCTTTTATATTGACTTTTGTCTCTGTTGTATTGTGTGACAAGGGAACCATGCAGGAAATAGCTCAACCAGGCAGGAATAAAGCCGAAGGTGGCGGTTACGGCAATATGTATACACTGTGGACAAGACTCGTGTCCAGCCGTGGACGATTGTCGCTGAGACGAATGTTTGATGTGGTGTTTGTAATGGTTGTAGATCGAAAGGGCGCAGCCAGCGAACGGACTGGCGGACCGAGCGCAAGCTGAACTCTGAGACGTTCGGCGTGGCGTCGGCGCGCCGCGGCGCCTGGCGCGGCCGCGCCAACTGGCGGCACAACCCGCACAACCCACACAACCCGCACAACTCGCATCATCAACCGTGAGTATATTTTTTGTTTTAAAAGTAACTCGATCTTTTCGCCGATGATTCTCTAACGGTATACAACCACTCCGTGACGGTTCCGTGGTTTAGCAATGAGTTACAGTGTTGAGGACCGTGGGTTCGAATCCCGCACAGAACAATTATTTGTATGGCCTACAAATAATTTTTCTGCATCTGGATGTTAATATCCTTTTTAGTTTACATAGGGTTATTTTTCAAAGAGTAGCCAAATTTTCAACTTAAGTTCAAATATATAAATAATGACATACAGTTATTGTCGTTTTTGAAAATACGAGTAAATAAGGTTTCTACTTTTATTTGAAGTTATCCCAAATTGAATGTGATTTGTCGGCAACAACTACGCTTACTCGCGCTCCTCTGTGTGCAATTCAATTCACGTTTTTCCAGACTGATCGACCTTTACGAATGTGTGGCTGCTTAGTAGGCGTTAGATATTTTTGAATGACAATCACTTACAATAATGCATCATCATCATCATCATTACAGCCCTTCACAAGTCCACTGCTGAACATAGGCCTCCCCCAAAGAATGCCACAAAGCACGGTCCTGAGCCACCTGCATCCATCGACTTCCTGCAAATCTTACCAGGTCGTCACTCCATCTAGTGGGGGGACGCCCTACACTTCGCCTGCCGGTACGAGGCTGCCACTCGAGAACCTTTCTTCCCCATCGGTTGTCGGTTCTTCGAGCTATATGGCCGGCCCATTGCCACTTCAGCTTACTAATCCGTTGGGCTATGTCGGTCACTCTGGTTCTACTGCGGATATCCTCATTTCTGAGTTTATCACGCAGAGAAACTCCGAGCATAGCCCTTTCCATAGCTCGCTGAGCGACCTTGAGCTTCCTCATCCGGCCAGCAGTGAAGGACCACGTCTCAGTTCCGTATGTCATCACTGGCAACACGCACTGGGTGTACAGTCTCGTTTTCAAGTTTTGAGGTATACCTGACGAGAAGATGTGCCGTAATTTCCCGAACGCTGCCCAACCGAGTTGAATCCGTCGATTGACCTCTCGGTCGAAGTTGGACTTACCTAGTCGGACTATTTGTCCCAGGTAAACATACTCGTCAACAACTTCGAGCTTAGTGTTCCCAACAACTACCGGCATAGGTGTGACATGGACATTAAACATGATCTTTGTTTTGTCCATGTTCATCTTAAGACCTATCCGTTGGGAAACACTATTGAGGTCATTGAGCATAGTGCTTAGGTCCTCCAGCGATTCTGCCATAAGGACTATATCGTCGGCAAATCGAAGGTGAGTGATGTACTCGCCATTGATGTTGATACCGTATCCTTTCCAGTCCAGAAGCTTGAAAACATCTTCCAATGCAGCGGTGAAGAGTTTCGGGGATATGACGTCACCCTGTCTTACACCTCTCTGCAATTGGATAGGTTTCGTACTCTGGTTCTGTACTCGGATAGCCATCGTAGCCCTACTGTACAAGCACTTCAACACTTCGATATACCGACAGTCAACTTGGCATCGCTGAAGGGACTGCAGCACCGCCCAAATTTCGACGGAATCAAAGGCTTTCTCATAGTCCACATACGCCAGACATAGTGGCAAATTGTACTCCTCGGACTTCTGTACAATTTGCCGAAGGGTATGTATGTGGTCTATGGTGCTAAAGCCTTTTCGGAAACCGGCTTGTTCGGGAGGCTGGAAGTCGTCAAGTCTGCGCGCGAGGCGATTCGTAATGACTCTCGAAAACAGCACGTAGACGCGGCTCAGAAGGGAAATCGGTCTATAGTTCTTCAAGAGAGCGTTGTCGCCTTTCTTGAAGAACAAGACCACCGCACTTCTGCTCCACGCCTCCGGTGTAATGCCACCATGGAGGACGGAATTAAAGAGCTTCTGAAGGACTTCAAGTACCGGTTTTCCACCCGCTTTCAGAAGCTCCGCTGTAATTCCATCCTGGCCTGGGGCCTTGCCGTTTTTAAGGTGCTGGAGAGCCATTCTAATCTCGCTCAGACTGACGTCCGGGATATCATCGGAATAATGTCGGATAAGACTCGCTCTTGGATCGTTACTCACACTTGCGTGTGGCTCCAACGATGACGTGTACAGTTGTCCATAGAACCTCTCAATCTCACTCAAAATCTCAGGTGCCCCGGAAACGATGCTGCCACATTCGGTCTTCAGCCTTGACAGTTGGCTCTTTCTGGCAGACAGATCTCTGGCAAAGACTTTGGAGCCTTGGTTCCGCTCGATCGCTTCTTCAATACGAGCTGTATTGAAGTTGCGTAAGTCCCGCCGCATGCATTTGGAGATCTGTCTGTTCAGTTGCCTGTATGCTGTCAAATCTGTTGAAGAATGTAGCTTCATCTCCCGTCTAACAGCCATGAGATTAAGAGTGTGATCGGAGAGTTTTTGTGTTCTTCTGCGGCGGGTCTTGCAGAACTTAGCTCCGACCGCATGGACAGTTTCCACGAGCTTGTCATTCAAATCGTCCACTTCATTGCAGTCTTCTAGGCACTGAAAACGGTTTTGCAACTCGAGCTGAAAGGTTTCGGGACTTTGGATTAGAGCACGAGGGGGACGGAGCGACAATAATGCATTAATATGCATTTTAAATTTAAAAGATAAAAGGGATCTAATGTTTGAGATTTTTTTTATATTAATTTTGGTTTACCATTTGGTTATAATACTTATTGTGAACCTTCTCTGCCTTGTCAATTAAATGTCAAACTTCTTTTAACCTAATGGTTTGACTGGGAGAGAACGCTCTATGGGTTTAAGTCCGCCATGTGTATAAATATATAAATAAAGTGTAGCATGATGTCCCGCCATGTGCACACTTTGAAACTGTGCGTTGGAGCGTGCAGTATGGTGTTGTAGTAATGTTTAGTATAGAGTATCGCTGCAGTGTGTGAGAGGGCGGGCAGCTAACGTAACTGAATGGCAGCATGTCGTACTTCCCCAGCTGGCGGGCGATGCGCGGCGCGCGCGGCCGCGGCAACAACAACATCCGGCAGCCGCGCAGCAGCGCGCCCGCGCCCGCGCCGCACGCCGCGCCGCACGCCGCACAGCACCACTCCACCGCCGCCGGTCAGCACCACCCTGCACCACACTGCACCACACTGCACCACCGACACCACTCACACCTACCTACCGGCGCGCTTAGCTCGCATTCATACCGTCACAACCTATTAAAGTCCACTGCTGAACATAAGCCTCCCCACAGATTCCTTATTCTTCATCATCATTAGTCCTTCAAAACTATTTATACGTGGTACAGCCATGCTGCAGCTATATTAGTAGTATAGTTGTAACACGAAACCGGGGAAGGACCACACTCTCACAGAATACCAGTGTAAAATAGCAGCTAATACGGTGTTTCGTATGGTGAGTATATAAAACCGAAGATCATTTTCACTGGAAAAGAAGCATTCCATCCTAGTCCTCACGAGTGACGGCGCATCTGCATTTTGATTCTTTATTGAGGATAAATGTAAATGTCTGACTCACACCTACCATCAGGTGGTGGACTGTGTGCACATTTATCATCCTATCCAATAAAAAAAAAGTCAATTGCTTACATAAGCCAAAGAATGCTACAGCATGGTCCTAAGCCACCTGCATCAATCGACTTCCTGCATATCTTACCATGTTGTCTCTCCATCTAATGGGGGGCGGCCCTATACAACTAAGACAGGCGATGATGTGAAACAGTATTATACTTGTCCTAAATAACATTTTGTGTGTTCCTAATTTTTGTCACAATATTACTTTTAAGTAGTAACATGCTTTAATCTGAATAATTCAGTAAACTGTACAATTATATACAAAACAATTAATAAAATAATGTAATATATATACAAAACAATTAGTAAATTTAATATTGTTCAAAATAGTTTTATGTAGCTGTCCATTTAGTCTCAAGAATAAAAGAAACACGAAAGTACAAAGTTTACCATGTTGTACAAAAGTATTGATTTGATTTTATCGTCTCACTTGGCGGGTTTCCGATCACAGTACTATTATACGCCGACGCTACTGGTCGTCGCCGATTTGAATTTTATATTTTGAATATACAAGATAAATACCGCCATCTATAGGATGCTGACCTTTCCCATAAGTTACCTATTACGACACCTACAAGACTAAATGAACTGAATGACTCATTTACACTGCCACCACAATGAAGTATTAATGATGTTTACTTATAATCTGATTTTTTAAATAAAATTGAAGTGACAGATAAACTCACAGTCCACCATGATGGTAGTAAGTAAGTAGAAATAATTAACATTTACAGATAGACTCCTAGGCAGAAAAGGACATTTGCCTTTTAAAAAAAATATGTTTTGAAATCTGGATGTTTTGTAATTATTAATTTTCCATTTTTTCTACAGCAAAGTAGAAGATAGCATGCCGCAGGGAGTACACTGAATCTTAATTTATTATCGCGTGGACTAATCACAAAGCAAACAAGTAACGGAAATGCGTGAGATGGTGATTTAAGTGTGTTATGTAATCTATTTAAAAAAGCTGAAGTTGTATTTGTGGGAAGAAATTAGGGATGTGATTTTAAGAAGATGGACATTGTTTTGGTGTGATAGTGTTGTATCCAATAAATGGAAGGTGTCAGCCGGTGATTCCCGCAAGAACGAGCAAGCAAAATATCTACGTCCAGATGCATTCGCACTTAGTATAGTGTAAAAAGAGTAGGTGAGCAAAATGTGTTCTCTATTTTGGGCAGTTTTATTGACATCCCCTAAATTTCGACATCCTTGTCTATATTGAAGCTATGTTCTGTGATTCTGGATGTCAATATCATAATTGTACCATGTAAACTGACTCCTCGTAATTCTAATGAGGCTATGTAGCAAGCCCCTGCATAGTATTAAATGTCATGCCCAATGAATTATATTTTCATAGCTTCAAACATATTACGCAGTTGTGCCTATTAAAGTTGTAACAAGATGTTGTTAGATTATTAAATATGTTTTACTACGGTCAAGTTTCGAAATGTCAGAGTTTTTGTTTTATTTAAAATAGCAATGACTGAATGTTGTAACAATGGTCCTTTAATGAATGTGTTAGCTGACACTATTAAATCTTAGCTTATCGAGATACCTTTGAGCATGTTTAAATTGCTCTGCTGGCCAGATTATTCACGAATTTTTAGGTAGATTAATGAAACTACTCAAGGTGTCTTCGGCTTTAACTTAGAAATTACTTGAGTTAATCGTTGACCGTATTTTATTGTTAGATAATCAATGTGATGGTGGGACTGCTGATGTGATCTGATGACAGTATCGCTGGATTTGTAGTTATTATTGTAAAGTCTTAATGGACTACTTTTTATTGGAGTGATTTTTATTGTAAAGGGATACTGTCATGTTTCATGATATGCCACAATTGGAAAAAAGTTACAAAAAAATTGTTTTATCATACAATTTATTATTTTTAGTGTTTTCAAAATGTTCATTAAAGAATAGGACTGTCGTTACTAAATTGGAATGATTTCATTAACTCAGAGAAAATATTGTTGTATAATTAAGATAGTCCTTTATTTAGACAAAATTCGAAATACATTTTTTTTTTGACTAAAATAATATATTTGTAAATCTATCACTCAAAAACTGTACCTGGTGATTGTATTAATATGGAAATATACATTTACTACAAATCTTCCATTTTACATGTTGGTTTTTATTTCAATGAAACTACATAATATTATCTTTTATATTTTATTGCAAATTAACCAAAAGCTGGTACAAAACGTATTTAATGCTTACACTACAACAAACATACAAAAGTTAGTCATAAACATGGAATTTAAACCAAGTCATATAAGTAACATAGTCAAATAACATAATGATTTCTTACATAACATTAATCACACACATCAAATGGAACCCATTTCTTATGATTTATATCGCATTTAATTTATTTATTTTTAGATATCCCCGCATTATAAATGTTCCTGCAGTCTGTGAGCATGTTCATGCATTTGAATAGGATATAGAACGAAAATTAGACAGAGTAATTGGGAAGCCAATGTATGGCAAACCCACAATGCTGTGTAAGTCCCTGCCTTAAAATATGGTAGGGAAAGTTGGACATGGCAGAAAAGCACAATAGTAAAATTAACGCTGTAGAAATGAAATAATATAGTAGTATGTTAAATGTGATTCTGAATGATTAGGGTAGGAAATTGTGTGACAAGAGAAAAGTGTGGTTTGCAAGATGTTGCGACTAGGATTAAGCAGGAACGCTTCAGTATTTTAGACATGTAGAAGGAATGTATGTGGAAAGGTTGTCAAAGCAGATTTATTCTGCAGAAAAGAGTGGTAGTCTGTAGGGACCCCCTAGATGGAAGATTATCGACTTATTAAAGATTGCCCCAAGTTAAGCTAGGTAAGGTTTTAATGCGTAGGTACGTTGTGCATGTCAATGAAGTGAGAAAGTGTCAGGGTCGTGTTGAATGGTAGTCCTAGTTCCTAGTCTCTGTTTACCGCTCTGGGTGACAGGCGTCAGACTTTATGAATTATGATGAAGATTGGTAAGTTTGACAAAAAAAAACCCATAAAAAATAAGTTTCATTTAAAGTCAAAATACTTTCAATATTTAAATGTTGGAATCGACGTTGCTAATTACGCGATATAATATCAGAATGAAAAACAAAAACTAATTGAAGACCGATAATCTATTTAAATGTACTACTAGTGTACATGATAAAAAAACATTTAATTTCAATTAAAAATCATATCATGGGTGTGGTATTTTAATTATATTAAATCTTTAATCTATGTACTAAATGACGAAACAGGATTTTCATGTGGCTTAACTTGCATTTTCTGTTGGTACCATAACAACACCTTATCTGGTAACAAAATACATCCAAAACATAACGCGGCAACGCATTCAGATGGTATAAACTTCAATTTGTAAACAAAAATTTTCTACCCTCCTTAGGTTACTATATAAGATATTTCTATTATTATGTTACGTTATAATATAAAACATGATTTCTTATAAAATATAAATGCCCACTTCTGTCGACGGTGACTACACCTACTAAAAATATTTACAACAATCGTTCTTAGCAATTACATGATAGCTCATACAAGTTTTAAAAAGTTATCATTCATAAATATTTTATAGTAAGCTTCAGATAGGTAGGTAAGTACGTATGAAATATTTGAGCCTAAGGCTCAATTTACATTGCGGCGGAATGGAATGGAAGTGAATTATAGTAAAATGAATTTTATGTTAATTGTGTAACGTGTAAACTAGATATGAGCCAAAAAAGAAGTTACACAATTAACATAAAATTCATTTTACTATGTACAATTTCGTTTAAAAATTCGCTTCCATTCCATTTTGCCGCAATGTAAATTGAGTCTTATTTTGGTGTAAAATAAATGTAACCTAGATTGTCATTTTCCTGCATGCAAGCAGTGTGACATTAAGTTAGGATTACCATTTCGTAATTTGACATGCCCAGTCAAAAGGCCAGATAATTTTAATATTTTTATCTATTCCAAATTGGAAAACCGTAATTGAGCAAATAGGCTTATGCATTTATTTAGAAGTACATAAACATTATTCAATTTCTCTGAATGCTTAATTGGCTCGACTAAATAATATGGAAAGCAGCTGGCCGTAGACAAATACGCATAATTGATAATCCTACTTCTAAGCACCTTCACATACTCCTTGTATATATTTTTAAAGTAGGTAGATGATCTACTTCATGGCTCTAATCCCTTACAGGTACTTAGATTTCATACATGAGAAGAAAATTTGGAACTATATTAAACAAATAATAATTGTTACATTGAAGTAATATGTAGGTACTATGTACGAATATTACATTATATTACGCAGTACCTAAGTACATTATACTTCAATAAATTGTTATTATATTATGTGATTTGCAAGCTTTATAGCAGTAATAACTAAATCTTAAATTAGCAATAGACACTTGAAGTACGAAATACAAAAATTGTAAATTCGATGTCGGTGATTATTTTAAAAGGTTGGCGTGTACAGGAACAGAATATATATTAGTTGGCACAGGTCCTAAAGTGTGAAAAGTATCAGCTATGGTTTTAGCTCTATAGAATGTCATTGGAAGGATGCAAGTGGCTCTATCGTATATAGGGAGAGACTTAATATTTTGGGCAGTTTACTTGTAAGGTGCAGTGATTAAAGAATGATAATTCTCTTAGATGGTACGTGATAAATAAAATCAATCAGTACTTTATATTATTATACGGTTTTCCCCGGCGACACGTATACCATATTAATTATTTATAGTGCAATTTAAAAATTTATGTTTACTAAATATTAGTATTGAGCCAAACTTTTATTACTATGAAAATCGAGCTAATTGCTATAACCATGGTAAATCATTTTATTACATCTAAATTAAAAATCGTTAGAGTGAAAATAGATCAATTAGAGACAGTGTGTGTAGTTTAGATTTATTTCTATAAGCGTATGGTTCAATTTCCCAGTCAATGTCAATGTTGTGTCGAATCTCAATTGTTTTTTATTAAACATCAATTGATGCCATACAGTATTGCCAATGCGTAACATTCATGGTGCGATTAACCGCGCCATTCCCGGGGTGGCTGACCGTTCTCGACGACCCACACCGATCCACTCTGTCCTTTCATGAGGATTTCTATTAGAGCTCTACCGACATGCTCGGGACTGAAAAATAAAATTTAGATTAATGACGAGCATTTGACTGCGATGCTTCGGGACGCGTAATAGATTTCCGCGCCAATCAAGTATATTTGTATTTAATTCATTTATTACAGCCAATAAAAATTCCATTGCATAACATGGACCTCCCTCATAGATTGTCTCATAGTTGACAACCGCAGTTTTTCTTATTTTGAAATTTATCATGATGATGCAATTTTAGTTTTCCTAGTCCTAGGTTTCCTATCTCCTAGGATAATGGATAGGCCATAAGGTCGTGGATTCACTTACGCCGCCACTACACAGTAGGTATTTGTATGGCCTACGAATAATTGTTCCGGGTCTGTATCTTTGTCCATACGCAATTACAGAGGAAAAAGTAAGGTTTGTTAACAATCACGACGGAATAGCTTCGTGGCTATGCAAATCTAGTCGTTTTCCAAGGCATACCATTCATGATTTGATAAAGAAACGATGAAAACTTAGGTAAAAAATAGATACAATATGATTCCTCGATACAATATTAGTCAATGAATGTTGAAAAAAGCAAAAATTTGGGTTTACAATGTTGCGAACTGCTATTCATTGAACCCAAAACCCGTAACGTAGTGCACTTGTACTCTAAACATGGCGTTACGTGGTCGTCAAAACTATGTATTGTCTTTACCTAGAAATTATCTTTTTGTAATACTGTAGTTTAATTTTTGATAGTTTGCATTCGATCCGAAAAATCCAAATTCTTTATCTGATTTTCAGAAACTCTTTTGGATAATGAAGCAACTTGTTTTGATACTATTTTTTTCATATTATTTGTTAACTATAACTTACTGACGTCTTCTATTTTAAAGTTGTCTTTGTTTCTTGGTAATATATAAATAGGTTCTTGTCTTGCTAACTAAACAAAGTAAGTTATTTGTACGCCCATGACGCCATGAGAATAAAAGTATATATTTATAGTTTGTATAAAGTAGGCCTGTTGCGTTTTATCGTAAATCGAAACGCAACAATGACAAATAGCCCGGGCCAATCAAAAAATTCGAATTTAAATAACGGTTCTCGACTTCTTCAATACACGATATCATAGTTTAACTTAACACAGTAGTTGACCTTTTATATACATTTGTAATTATCTTTCAATATAGAAATCCTGTTTTTATTCTTTAGTTCTTGAATTATACTCAATTAATACAATAAAAGTCAAGATTTTTATTTTGGGAATTCGACTACATCAATTTATTATATTCATCACCCAAGAGCTCCTGCCGCATCCAGGATCAGGATCTTGGACAAACAGGCCAACTAATTGCAAACGTAAACAACTCACCTCTGCGTCTTACAATTCATGTGGTCTCTTTGCCACGCAGCCTCATATTCAGACGACATTAGCTGCTTTCGGATCTCTTTAACGAGTCCCGTATCCGTGAGTCCTGGACAGAGGACCATACTTCGAACTCCTGTCAGGTTCACGTGATACTGATCCTGCAAAATGTGTACGCTTTATGTTCAAAATTAAACATAAAACTTAGGCCGAATATTGATTGTAAGTATTTTAGTAGGTAGTTATTTATTTTTACAGTCAGATTTAAGAATAAAAATAACCTTACGAGCATATTTAGTATGAGAAGAATTTAAGCTATTTAGTATGAGGAAGGTCTCATTATCAGGTATTATTACAGAATTTAGAGTGACAAAATGAGCTTGTGTGTACCCAACCTGGTACTGCAGCTCATAGACATGTGCAGTTACTAAATATACCTTTATCTTAGACTACAGATGCGTTGTTACTTTTAATAATATATGGGTGACAAATGAGCACACAGTCTATCTGATGGTAAGTGGATGCTGTGGCCCATAGACATCATCTACTTACGGGTTCCAAGAATTAAGATTCATCATAAGCTTCACAGCTCAACAATTGGTGAATTTTTTAATTCAATAATTCTAATTGTCTTTTGTTTTTTTTTGTATTATCCTAAAATGTTAATTATTATATAATATTATTGGGAATGAGGGTAAAAAAATAAAAGGAAATACGAACAGATTAAGGTAGAATGGCAATTTCCCACTGGTTTTAGCAGTATAAAGAATCGCACAGGCGACTAAGAGGCATCAGTCTGTAATTCTTATAGTCCCATTGTCATTAGTCGTTACGATGCCCGTTGGGGTATTCTACTAGTGTAGGCAAGGAAGGTCCTGTTGCTGAGAGACTGCCCTATGTTACATTTGAGATGGGTAGTGATGCTGTTGGTTTGCATACTTTGGTGTTATCATGTAATTGGGTCCTGATAGTAAGCAGGGCTTGTTACCGAGTAGTGTTCTTTTATTTAAATACGTTTGAGGATAATTTCTAACATCAGAAGTGGAATAGTTTCTTACATCGGAAGTGGGATAGTTTGTTACAATATTATAATAAATCAAGAATATAACCAAAGCGTACCCCGTAAGCACGAGTGAGTCCAACAACGGCATAATTAGTTGCGGTGTAGATAGGCGTGGAGACCTGTGGCCTTGCAAAGGCTGTTGAAGCGGTGTTAACAATCGTACCACCTTGCCCGCCGCGGTCCTTGCCCATGAACCGATAGGCTAATAGTGTGCCACGAATTACGCCATTCTGCAAATTTAAAGTTTAAAAAAGGCGTCAAATGTCAATCGAAGATACGTATTTAGACAAAATGTATTTTAATTGGAATTTAGAGTACTTAAATAACTTCCTTACATAACGCCATAACAAGAATGCGCTAATTTATAGAAAAAGTTACCCCATTCTTACCGCGCTGCACGTGTCTGGCAGATTGGTGAGCGCAAATTCGAGACCCTTGCACTGGCGATGTTCACATTACCAGTCAGTGGTTAAGGGTTCGGCATTTTTAGATGAACTCTTCTTCCATGAGTCTCTAGAAGCCTCATACATTAATAGTTCATTAACATCTGCAGCTGACTCAAACAAAGAAAGCCTCACAGCCTGTTATTATTATATGGGATTTTTATACTCTTTATTTCCTATACAGCAGTGCAAGCACTGCTATTTGGCGGCAAATATACGTAGGTATTACTACTCAGACGGACGGCTAGGCAGAACAGGAATACAATCTCCTAGCACTTTTTTGTAATATTAAATATTATAAACTTACCAAATTCACGTCAACTTCGAGTTCCCAAAATCTATCATTCATAACTCCGGCGTTGTTTATCACTATGTCCAGTCGATTGAATACTTTTATTGTCATCTCGAACGCTTCTATAAAGCGAAATATATTTTTTTTAATTAATTAATTTTATAACACAGCATTTGGTAAAAAGTTCCGCAACATTTCAAAAATACTTTCACATGAAAAAAAAAGTTAGTTCGTTTAATTACAAAAAACATTTGGTTTTGTATAGATAATAGTGACAAACGAGTACCCATACATCTAGATTTATCCTCGATTAAGAATCAAAATACAGATGCGTTGTAACTCCTGAGGACTAAGATACTACACTCAACATACGAAACACAGCAGCATTAATTTGCAATTTCACACTGGTTTTCTGTTAGCTTTCCCCATTCGAGCCGACCTATTCTTGCTACAATCATGATATTAGATATAGCTGCAGCATGGCCCTACTACCTAGGTAACATATAAGTTGTAAAATCATAATATAGCTAAGAAGAGGTGCCGCCTCCCTAGAAAATCTATAGAAGAATGAATACAAATAACAATAAGAAAAAGTTTCAACGCTACCAAGCAGTGCTTCAATTGGGAAGAATCTGTGCCGCCTGTGCCTACTCAGGAAATTATGTTAGCTACGCTCATGCGTATAATGTGTATCAGTACTGCATGTATCTAAAAATGGGTAATTTTTTTATGTATTAAGTATGTCATATAAGCTCAAAGAATGATCAAACGCACATTGAGCGAAAATACCATACAAGACGCTTTGTACTACTGGTCGGCTCTTTCAAACCCCATCATCAATACACAAGTCCACTGCTGAACATAGGTCTCCCCCAAGTAATGTCACGTAACACGACCCTAACCCACCTGCATGCATAGACTTTCTGCAAACATCAACTTCATGCCTCGACTTCCTGCATGAATCGACTTTTGCATGCATCGACTTCTTGCATGCATCGACTTCCTGCATGCATCGACTTCTTGCATACATCGACTTCCTGCATACATTGACTTCCTGCATGTCTTACCAGGTCATCCCCCTATCAAAGTACGAATATGAGGCTGTCAATGAAGAACATTTCTTCCCTATCGCTTGTAAGTTCTTTGCGCTATACGGCCGATAGTTTGCCACTTCAGCATACTGATCCGTTGGGCTATGTTACCGACATAGCAACTGACATAATTTGCTCTAGTTGTAGTACGGATATCTTCATTTCGAATTTTATCACGTCGAGAAACTCTGAGCATAGACCTATCCGTAACTTGCTGAGCGACTTTAAGCCATTACGACCAACAGTGAAAGATTGCATGTCAGATCTATAGGTCATCACTGGCAATACGTACTGTTTGTGCACTCTTATCTATGCACCAAATGAATAATGCAATATATCAACTGTGATGGACTTAATACCTAATACAATATTTTCTATACACTGAAATAACCAGTTTTTGATGCGTTGATATTAGGATTCTTAATACTCACCCTCATATTGCGGATAGTCCGTGACGTCACATTGGCAAAACAGTACGTTCTTCCGGCCATACTTCACGCCCAGTTCATCCGACACCTGTTCTCCGATTTCAGAATCGATATCGCATATTGAAACCTGTGAAATAACAATCGTGACTTACACTAGATTTGTTTTATGCCATTTATACATTACTATTTGGCCCGGCTGAACTTGAATTGTCAGAACGCCACTAAAGATTTTTTAAGCATGTTAATGTTAATGTTACAGTTAATATAGGTTCCACTGCTGGGCACAGGTCTCCTCTCATTTCTGAGTGGGTTTTAGGGCAAGGACATTTCCGCCTCGCTGATGGAATGCGTGTTGGCGAACTTCACATGTCTTCGAAATATTTATTTTGTTCGATGTTTTCTTTCACCGCCGACCACGTGGTAAATCAGTGCTTAAAATTGCAATTAACGATTTCATTGGCGCCTGTGGGGATCGAGCCCGGGTTGCTCGCGTACTGTGAAATTTGCAGCGTGCGCTTAGCCTCAGCTACCACAAGTCGCATTACATTACATTTTTAAGCATAATAGACTATAAGTAAAAAATTTAATGATAGTGGTCTTAGCTTACTTGTACCTCTTACTTATTTCTGACGCCAAATAGCAGTGCCTGCACTACTGTGTTAAGAGCTGAACGGTATAGAGAGGCAGTATAATAATAAGCTGTAAGGCATTCCACCGTAGTCCTCAGAGGTGACAACGCATTTGTAGCCTTCTTTCTATAAAGTTTGCCGCAGGTGTCCATGTGCTGCAGTAGCTATATATCATCATCATTACAGGCACGCCGGTATGAGGCCGCCACTCGAGAACCTTTTTTCCCCATCGGTTGTCGGTTCTTCGAGCTATATGGCCCGCCCATTGTCACTTCAGCTTAGTAATACGTTGGGCTATGTCGGTCACTCTAGTTCTACTGCGGATATTCTCATTTCTAAGTTTATTACGCAGAGAAACCCCGAGCATAGCCCTCTCCATAGCTCGCTGAGCGACCTTGAGCTTCCTTATCCAGCCAGCAGTGAAGGACCACGTCTCGATTCCGTAGGTCATCACTGGCAACACGCACTGGTTGTACAGTCTCGTTTTCAAGTTTAGAGGTATACCTGACGAGAAGATGTACCGTAATTTCTCGAACGCTGCCCAGCCGAGTTGAATCAGTCACCATCAAGTGGAGCGTCATTTCGTTTGTTACTTTAACAATTTACAATTTTATTGCAAAAAAAAAACAATTCGTCGTTGACGCCATAAAAGGGCAACCTCAATTTTTTAAAAATTACAGGAGAGTAAGAAAACATTTATTATTCCCCGATTACTAGCTTTTTTTCATCAGAAAATTAATCTTATTTGTAGTTTTCCATAAAGTCTAAAAAATTGAGGTTCGCCTGTTTGTGGCGTTAGCGACGAATTAATCGCTTTAGGGATGACTACTCAGCATGTGTCATCCTGCAGCATCCCACGGACATTTTGCTTGCTTGGAAAACAGACGAGGTGGCACAAGTCGCGGGCTCGAACTCGCTGGTGGGCGCGGCCAAAAAGCACGCTGTCTCACCTGGCATCGTGCCCGACAGAGATAGTATCAGTGATGAGCATATCGACACTAGTATTCACGCATGTCTTGTTCGTACGGTGTTCCGAACCGTTAGAGTAAAAACGAAGTTACACGAACACGATGCAACATCTATACTAATATAATAAAGCAGTAGAGGGTTTTTGTTTGTTTAAACGTGCTAATCTCTGGAACTACCAGTCCGATTTGAAAAATCTTTTTTTGGATATTATAGCCAGATTCATGTTGAATAGTATAGGTTATACAGCATTAGGCTATATATCTCAGCTAGCCTATATTTGTTAAGGAAGTCAGAAGAAAAAGCGCTGTTATGGTTCGGGATACGTAAATACAATGTCTAAAAAAAGTCCGCGATACCATATGTCTATTTCTTATATATAAGCCACAATTAGGCATTTTGTGACAAAAAAAAAATGAAAATTTAATTATTAGGCACCTTACGAACCAAAGTTACTTCATTATCAAGACAATTTTATGAAGATAAACTTCGTTCTTTATACCATGTTTATATAGTACATAGTTTAAGAGATAATGTAAAATTAAAATAATTCAATACCTACTTGGCTTGACGCGCAAACAACGCATAACCCCTAGCCCGGTGCGAACTGAGAAGCCAGTATTGAAAGCTTCTATGAGCGAGGTTAGGTTAGCCGTTAGTTCAATCGTTATCTATATCTACACAAATAAATAAAATTGAAGTGTCTGTTTTTAATGTCAAAATAACAGCTTTTTACTAATTGCGTATGAAACTGTATACGGTACTTATAACATTAACACAATATTTAACATTTTTGTATGTCTGTCAGTCTGTTTGTTGCGGTTAATTTCCAAAGCGGCTGGACCGACTTTGGCGGGACTTTCACTAGTAGATAGCTCATGTTATAAGAAGTAACTTAGCCTGCTTAAATTTTAGAAAAATTATTAGGTGTCTTTGCAACAATATTAACGCCCTAAACTAAACGCGGACGAAGTCGCGGGGTACAGCTAGTAGCTAAAATAAATTCAAAATTAATTGAGTACTTTTATCTATCTCCCGGGTGACCGTAGCAATGATTAGTTACATCTTTATTTCTGAACTCTTTCATTTCACGTTGCTATGGTATTTTGAAAGTTTAAATTTAATTGATTAATAAGTATAAGAGGTTGATAGCAAATTTATCAAGAATCATTTCTTGCCTACACACTTTTCATGTATCGTGTACGTTTTTCTTTAAAACTGGAAAAAACCGCGCATAATATGCCGACAGATAAAATAAAAGTACTCCATTTATCATGACAATTTTTCCATACATTACAATCAAATAAAATATTTGATTGCAATTATAAAATGCTTGAACTAGGTGTCATGTCATGCCACGCATCTCGGACACGTGATGACGCGGGTGAAACCGCGAAATTATTAGGTATACCTCTGTGGCTCTATATACCTAATATAGATTGCTTATTTTATTATGTTTAGTTTTCCCCGAGTGGTCATGCAGCAATCACTCAAGAGTTCGGCTTCGAACGTGTGTAACTCGATAATTATCCCACGGCAACGAAATACCTGAATAAACGGTATCATATATGATATTTGGCAGCTCCGTGGCGCAGTGGCTTAGCAATGAATTGTTGTACTGGGAGCCGCGGGTTCGAATCAATCGAACAAGTATTTGTATGGTCTACAAATAATTGTTCCGGGTCTGGATGTTTGTAAACTGCCTCCACGATACAGGAGAAAATCCTAGTGTGGGGTAACGTTTTTTTTGAAAAAAAAAAATTCCGGACTATAGCCTATCTCTGAGCAAAATATCATCCAGATCCCTTCAGCCGTTCTGGCGTGATTGAGTAACATACATCCATTCATCCGTCCATCCAAATATCCAAACTTTCGCATTTATAATATTTAGATAATAATCGTAATTGGTCTGCCTACCTATAAATTGTTTTCAAAAATACTTACTTACCTGGCTTCTTATTTTTTTATATATACTCAATATCACTAAACGTAAGCACAGGTTTTTATCTACCTAAAGTTTACAATTTTGTGGCCACGACGCGGCGAGGTTTTGTGATATTTTGTTGTATTGTAGATTGTAGGTATCTAGGTAATAACAGTAGGTACCTATGAAAATCCCACATAATATACTTTGTTTATCCGCCGCAAAAGTCGTCTAATAAATAATTAAACTGTTTTGTAATTCTTTATTTATTTATAACACTTGCATTGAGAGCCGTGGTAGCTCAGATGGTTAGCGCTCGCTGTAAGTATCACATTACGCGAGCAACCCGGGTTCGATCCCCGTCGGCACCAATGAAATTGTTGCAATTTTATATAGTAATCGAATATAGACTTTACTTTTTTTACTTTTATAATTATATTATATTACAGACGAAAATTTTAAAATATTGTCTGTCGTCCAAAACGCATCATCTCTTTCAATTATATCAATTTCCATGCCGTCTTTTGTCTTTGGCGTCCAAATTACAAAATAGCAAAACTTTTCGTTTCGAATAAAACTCGAATACAAGCGCGCGTCACCGCCTGTGCATGTGTATGTAAGCATCGTCCTCCCGCACCGCACCGGGGGAGACATTATTCAGTGAGATGCACGATAAGTCATAGTAACATGCGCGCGTAAAAAAATACGAAAAGGCCTTTGGAAGAAGGGGTTTTATGAAAAAACCACTGCATTAATCAATTACAAATAAAATTTATTGAGTTCTTCGATAATTGACCTGTGTCGGTACCGACTTTGTTTTGGAAATTTTACACTTCTTTTATTACTAATTTACGCCCAAAGTTGTGTTAAAATTGGCAATAAAAACGAATCTTTGGTAGCTCGTAACTTTTTAACAACATTTTATTTTACTATTCTGTTTCCGTACAGACAAATTTAATAATGAGACAAAACGATATCATGTTTAATTTTGGATGTACACTGTCAAACAGCGGAGTAAAACCCCTCCGAAATTTCTATGGAAATAATGTCGACTAGTGTCACCTTAATACTAGGTCATAAATTTTCTAAAAAAAATAAGTCGGTGGGGGCAAGTATTTTTCAACTTCCTTATCATTATTTTCATGTGGTGACGGCGTAAAAGAATCCATAATTCATCGCATATAAGGGTGTGTTGTAAGAGGCGACTTTGGCATATACCAAAGAGATCTCAAGAGTTTTTGTAGATGACATAACCCCTTCGTATAATCAGCACGAGCTATATTCATGATGATCATTACAAATCTCTACAAGACCTCCTCAAAGGAATGCCATACAACATGGTCTTGGGTTATAGAATCAGGTCCGTCGAAGAAATTAACACACTCTTAATCTCATAACTGAAGACAGGAAATAAAATGCAATTGTCAACAATAATATGACAAATATAACAAATATGACAGTATACAGTCAGCTGAACAGACATTTCCAAATGCATGCGGCGAGGCTTTCAGAACTTCAATACAGTTCATATTTAAAAAGCGATTGAGCGGAAATAAGGCTCCAAACTCGACATTTCTGGGTGACCGGAGATTTTGAGTGAGGTCGAGAGTTTCTACAACTGTATATAATATACTGTCGAGCCACACGCACGCGCACGAGATCGACCCAAGAACAAGTCGCATCCGAATCCGACACTCTTTCGGTCATGTCCCGGGTGTCAGATTGGGCCAGATTAGAATAACTCTCCTCTTTAACACCTTAGCCGGTGATCCATATCACATTCTGAATATGTCGTCTTCAAGTCGTCATGTATGGGTATCATAATGAAATGGAATATAAAATAAAGCAATATAAAAATATTGTTGAGGCTTTAGGATTTACGCAATAACAATAACCAAACATTAATACATAGTAAAATTAACTGAATTTATTAGAAATGGTTCATCCAAAGTTTTCTAATATTTATTCAAACTTTCAAATCCAAAAACTTTTATTTCGGATTCTTCATCCATATGACTCAGTAACAATTGAAACTTGTTCCAATATTAATGATATAAATATTTGATCTTGCTTCTGGCTGTGAAACCGGCGTATGCGAACAAATCCAGTGCACTAGCAGTGGAGAATCCTACCTATTTGCTAATGCGCTTCTTTTGCGGATAATTGAATAAAAGCAAATTATTGGATTCATTCAAAAGTAAATGAACTCGTAGAGTGTAAATATAAAAAAATACTATTCTCATTATTACCTTACAGTCATCCGTATATTGTAGGAAGTTTTATTTACTTTCAAATTAGGTATACCTTACCAAAAATACTAGACTCTTATTTTTTTATAGAATAAGGGTGACAAACGTGCACACAGTCCTCCTGATGGTAAGTGGATGCTGAGGCCCATAGACACATCGATTAAGAATCAAAATGAAGATGCGTTCTTACCCCTGAGGACTATTTTACGCTAGTATTATGTGAGAGCCTGATGTTTCCTCGCTCAAGCTGACCCATTCGTGGTTTGACCATAATATAGCTACAGCATGGTTCTACCACGTTTAAAATATTATTTTTCAAAGACTATCTATTATTTTACTGTAAATGTCACTGGGCTTATAAAAAGTTTCCGCATTGAGCTAATTTGCAGCATAAATATTTTATTAGAGTTCAGTTACCCTCAGATACTGCATTGCCATGAAAGCTATATAGTAGATAGTTATTTGCCCTTTGATATAATAGGACTTGTGAATTCTTTAGTTTTGACCTTTTATAAAGATATTAAAAATCTTGCGCCAAATTATACATAATTTATGTTTATAGAGTGGCATTTCTAGCAAATGGATCTGGCCACCTAGTTCTAACATTTGTTCTACGACGGAACAAAACGGACGAAAATCGCCACATTTAGTTAAACTGCTCATTGAGATCAATAAAACTTTATACTAACGTACGTGGTAGAGTGTGGTAGAGGCACGTTTTGTACGTGGTAGAGCCATGCTGCAGCTATATTAGTAGTATAGTTGTAGCATGAATGGGTCGGCTCGACCGGGGAAGGACCACGCTCTCACAGAATACCACCGTAAAATGGCAGCTTGACACTGATGTGTTTCGTAAGGTGAGTGTAGAGAATCGGAGACCCTTTTTACTGGAAAAGTGGCATTCCATCTTGGTCCTCACGGGTGACAACGCATCTGCATTTTGATTCGCAAACGAGGATAGATGTAGATGTCCATGGGCCACAGCAACCACTTACCATCAGGTGGACTGTGTGCCCGTTTGTCACCCTATCCTATAAAAAGAATTATTATAAAGTGACGTAGGCTGAGCGCTACTTTATCAACCTACTTCAAAATAGGAAGAGGTGTTCAATTCTTCGGATTTTTTAATGTGTATTCTGCGATAATTTGTTACCACGCTGTCCGATTTTAATGATGTTTGATTTTTATATTACAAAGGGACTACCTCACAGGTGGCCCCATATAAAGAAGAGAATTTGTTTTTGTATGGAGAACGGGCCCACCATAAATTGTGGCGTAACTTAATGAAATACAACATGTCGATTTATTGCTTATAATCTATAGATTACAATAGCAATGTTAGTTTTACTGTATCTAACGGGAATACTGAGAAATTAACAATCACAATAACCTAAAAACAAACTAAAAGCGATTGTCTAGTAATTTTCACCGGTATTATAAGTTAAAATAGTGCACTGGTCAATAATTAATAGTATAAAACAAAGTACATTCAGGTTTTAATAGGTACTTTAAGATTGATGGAAAATCCTTTTAGAGGTAGTTCATACTTCGTTAGTTCGTTTTTTTTTTCATAAGTATTACATGAATGAACATGACAACTCTTTTTTTCAGATTTCATGATTCCGGTTAGATTTTCATAAAATCTTTACTACTACTTTACTACCTATAATAAATTGGTATATTTTTTTAAATGTAGGTAATAAAATGAAGTTACGTTAAAATTTCTAGTGGGCTTAAAAACGATTATCTGCTTTGGTCAGGATCTGATGGAATCATATCATCATCAAATCATCTAAATCTTCACACATGCAAGACCCAAACGAATAATTCTGTACCACATCAACGACTGATGATTATGTTTTTTATTCTTTTTAGCTCTTAGAAGTTGCTTTAAAAAGTTTCATCTCGTGTAAAATTTTTGGAGGTTCAAACGTCGATGCTGGTCCTTTTTTTTTTGTAACCTCTTTCTAGAAAAGAAAAGTAAGCCTTATTAACTAAGGTTGAACAAAATATTCACTATAACAAAATGAGTTCTTAGTGTTTGTTTCCTTTTTATAAACTGTTAATTACTGTCAACTATAAATAAAGTTATTTATCATCTGTTTAATTAGGTGGCGCATACACGACAGATCTATTTTTAATTTTTTACCCTTACTTCATTAGACTTCACATAGAATTACGAGTACGTTATTAATTCCTACGCTAATAAGGTAACGTAGCCTCAATTCGTGCTGGCTGTTTATATATACGAGTGCATACTACAAAGTAAGATATGTCATAAGCTTGTAAGTCTATATGGGTTAAGTCCTTTTGTAGTTGTATAGAAAAAAAAACTACGTGTTTACGCAAATTCAATTAAAACCGAACATGAACGACTAAAACTAAACAAAGCGGCGATTAATTAAGGTAAAGATGAAACTTTTGTAAAAAACGAAAACGACGCCCAAAACTTTAAATGTAATAAATATCACGTTTCACAGTATTTATGTAAAATCATACACTATTACTAGAGCCCATCAGTCCACTGCTGAGTATCTATAGGTCTCCCTCAAAGATTGCTACAAAGTACTTCCCTGGGCCACCTGCATCAACCTGGGTGTTTTATCAGGTCACTCCATCACGTGGGGGGGGGGGGGGTTACCCAAAACAGCGCTTGCCAGCACGAAACTGCCACTCGAAATGCTTCCTCCCCCATCGGTTGTCTGTTCTTCGAGCTCCATGACCGGCCCATTGCCCACTAACTTACTGATCCACTAGGCTTTGTCAGGTTTTTGTATTCGTTCATTTTTACTGTCGGCGAATTAATGATAATATTTCCACATTTTGCAATTATGGTGTGGTAATGTATTAATTTTAATTAGAACAACATAAATTGTAATTGAACTAGGTATGCTTTATAGTGATTATCTATTTCTAATGTGTGAAAAGAACGTCACGAGGAAAAATATACTAAGACAGCGATTTTAGGATTATGGATATAACCGGATCGCCAACAAAAATCAATATTACATTTAAAAATTGTTAGTGATAACATGAAAAATAATCGTTTGTTTTAACTCTTATTTGAAAGCACACTCAAAGAATTGTTATTTTTGTGTCGTACACACCTTGTTCATTCAACAGACGCATAAAATCGAAGCGAATATTGCTTAGTAGTAATACTACGCCGCTCCGACCTAGTGCGTAATGTCCTTACCTTAGCTCCTTGCTTAAGTAACTCTTCACAGTAAGCGAGGCCGATGCCGGCAGCGGCTCCGGTGATCAAAGCAACCTTTCCTTTCAGCTCCATCACGTCGTATTTTCTATTTAGATGAAGCGCCGCGCCCCAATGCGGCCGGTACTAAAGTTGCGGTGAGTGTGCAGCGTTTCGATCGCGACGGGAACACCGGGTGGGAAAGGGGGATAGGACGGGGTCAATAAGGGGTGGTGAAGTTTTCTCCCCAAATTCCCCTTCTGTAGTAAAATATACGCACGATTGCACGCTACTCTCGCTATCTGCACCTACTCGCCGATTCAGTCCCGTATGGGCAATGCGGTTCATGGGACACTCACGTGTTCTATAAATAGTACCTACTCGTAGTGTGTCATACAAGAAAGTTTGTACCGTAAATAGTACATGCAAGAATGAAACCAAAACGCGTTCTATTGATTTATTTTATTTAGAATTCTCGAATACATACAGCGTACCATAATTTAAGGTAGAAAAAATCATTTCACATGTTTTTGGATTTTATAAGTAGACACAAAAATATCACAGATACAACAATACGCCTAAAGACATCCAAAACGCGACCATGATAATTTGCCGCGAGCTATACACAAAATACGAAAATAAATTTAATCACAAACTGATTAAAATGCAAAACTTGAAAATTTACAAATTACACAAAAAATGTTCTAAAATCACATAAAAATACATATATGTCATGATTTTCTTTAAGTTTTACATATAATAGTTATAATATATAAACAAAACTAAAGTATGTAATCTGTACATTTACAATAATCATGATTTACGATCCATAAAAATAAACAAATACTATGTACAATCAAAATATCACAGTATGTATTAATATCACAACAACCTTAATACATGAACAAATGATAAGTACAAATTTAGTCAATCACATGCTGGCAAAACGCTAGCGGGAGTACTTGTAAAGTTTTGAAAAGAAAATCCTTCTTTTGACCGTTAAAATAATGTATAATATAATAAAGAATTCAGATTAAAATAATTTAGTTCTATGAATACTACACACGTCCGTCGCTCATTTTTTCTACGGTACTTTAAAAATTTACATATCAAAAATACATCTAAACAACTTTACATACAAGTTTGTTACAATTTGAGAAGTAAACTTTTAACTGTTTAAATAAATTGTTACTGAATGGAGGAAAAAAGTAAGTGTGTTTCTAATGATGAGCCTGATCAGCTCCAGCTGCTGGTACGGCTTTTGCTAAATACGAGAAAGAGCGAGCATTGGGCAAACCGGCGAGGACACAAGCGCTTAGTGCTGACCGATTCAAGTTCATTGGGGCAGCATCGTACCATTCTAGGGTGTCGCCGTCGTAACATTCCACGTGGGGAATAGTTGTTGAGCCTGTAAATGCAGACATTATATCAACAGTCTTTTTAACTTCACTGTTTGACATAGACCTTTCCAAGATTTATTCGGTAGCTTTCCGAACGGAGACCCCGAGAAACCTCGTCTAAGCTAATAATGGGGTATTAACCTTTAACATGAGAATTTAGCTAAATTAGAACGGCCTTTCGAGGAATGCAAACGCGGGCATGTATTTCTTGGGAGGTTTGTCTATACTTACCACACTAGGAAGGCGGGTTGATGAACCCGGAACCGATACCCTCTTTCTAATAATACTTCGCTACATCTAGTCTGTTTGGATTTAGCAAAAATACAAAAACTTAAACTCGGCAAAACCGCTGTTGTCAGAAACTTTTAGTCTAATCTCGTCTTCCCACTGACAGTTGGCGGTCAAAGCGGACTTTCGAGAACGTGTAATTTCCGTCGACACGCATTATGGCAGTGCAGTGCACTCTTCCTAAAACTCTCTAAGGACTAAGAAGATAAAAATTTAAATGTAAATATTACCATTGAAGCCTCCGATGACAAAAATCATATCATCTAATAAAACAGTTGCGAAGTTACTCCTTGCGCTGAACATTTCCGTTATTTCCTGCCAATCACCACCTCGGTGGGGCGTAAATCTTTCACCTGATAATCAACACATATAAATAAAATCGAAGTGTCTGTCTGTAACATCGAAATAACTGTCTTATATTTAGTGAAAGGGTTAATTGCATATCATTAAGATATTAAAATTTTTGTCTGTCTGTTTGTCCGAGCTAATTTGTAAATGGATGAACCGATTGTAATGAAACTTCATCGATAGATGGAGAGAAATTCCAGGAGCGATCTAGACTACATTTTATCCGAAAACTTGAATTAAAAAGAAAAGATAAAATAAATGGTATTTGACTAGGTATCTCAAATCTAAATAACGTCACGTTAATAAATACTACTAGAGCAAAGCCAGGGTGGGTCGCTAGTTATAAATATGTGGTCCGAGCCGTCAAGGTTGGTACGGTCTTATGCCGCCAAATAGCGGCTAATGCTGTGCTCCGGTAAGTATCTCTAGGAGAGTAAATATAATGTAAGTCCTATAGAACCTTTACATTAACAGGCCGTGAAGGATTTTACTTTCAGAGGTAAAAACATCTGTGGTCTATTTTTTACTGACTTCAAAAGGAGGAGGTACTCAATTGGACTGTATGTTTTTTTTATGTGTGTTACTTCATAATTTTTTTCTAAGTGAATTTCGATGATTCTTTTATTATTTTTCCACTTGTGTTTGAAGTTGGTTACAGGTTGCAGGTGTCGATAGGCTGCAGCGGTAATTTATCAACTTACCGATAGCTCGTTTGTCACACTAATATAAAATGCTGCAACTATTAATATATTTACTTTCAAGTATCTAATTATTTATGGATCCTTTAATATATCTTTCTATTAGTTTATAATAATTATGATTATGTTACTGGCGTTATTTAATACAATATATTATTAATAATATTTATAATTTACCAACCTGTATTGTACTATGTTTTCTATAAATTATGATTAAGATCAAAAAATAAATTTGCTTACTCTATTCTTAAACCACGAGGATGGATCTACTTAAGTTTTTGTTTATTTAAAGTTAATTTATTAAACAAAAACCGTATTTTTTATCTAATTTCGGATAATTGTATTGTCTACTCTTATCGTGTATTTTTTTGGTGTTATTTTATTCAATACTATCTGTAAAACATAAGCGCGGGCGCGCGCACTACAACTCACTATATGTAACGAAACTAATGGTATAGGAACGAATAGAAATCCATTTCTATAGGTTGCAGAGCAATGCTGCAGCATATTATAGCTGGAGCACAGAATAAATAACAGTTAAAAGAAGCTGTAGCACGAATAAGTCAGCTCGGCCGGGGAAGGACCACTTTCTCACAAAATACCAGCGTAAAACAGCAACTTAATGCTGCTGCGATTCGTATGGTGAGTGTAGAGAACCGGAGAACCTTTTTACTGGAAACGAGTCATTTTATCTCAGTCCTCAGGGGTGACAACGCATCTGCATTTTGATTCTTAAGCGCGGATAGATGTAGATGCTTAGAATAATATTCTAAGTGTAGATGTCTATGGGCCACAGCAACCACTTACCATCAGGTGGACCGTGTGCTCTTTTGTCACCCTTGAAACAAATATTACTTTTGTAAGAAACATTCGCGTGTGCGCTCACCATCTCACCAAAGTTTCATGTATACGGGTTAAGTAAAAAAACATTAATTTTTCTTAATTTTTTTTCTTTTTATATTTTAATAAGAGAAAAGTGCCTAACTGAAGTGGTTTTAAGCCGTTTATTATTCATTTGATTTAGTAAAGGAACTATCACCTATAATATAATATATTTATTCATTATTCCTCCTTCCCACAGATTGCCTCGTGGATGAGCCTTGCCATAACTGCCACTCTTGACAGGCGGGTTGACAGCCGCAGTTTTTTTATTTTCTAGGTGTTATCAGGAAGACGCTGATGCTCACTTCCTGATTTGGTTCCTACTATCGTGACATATTCGTACTAACAAAATTACTTACTTAATCTAACTTTTCTACATTTACATATTTATTTAATGAAAATAAAAAATAAAACATTAATCGATATTTCTTACCAGTATTCAACCTGCTGTATCCATTAAAACCTCCAAGCGCATACAGCGAGTCCCTGTACGCGATAAGGCTTACGCCCGAACGCGGGCTGAGCATCGATCTGATGAAACTCCATTGCTTCGTCTCAGGGTCGAACATCTCCGCAGAACTTAACACTTCTTGCCCATTGAAACCGCCAACTATGTAAATCTGTTGAAAAATGTATATAGGTAGTATTTTTCAAACGTGAAACTTTTGTTCACTCCCCCGCGTATTTCTGAATAATCACGATATTCTCTTCTTTTTCTCAACGTTCTTTTGATAAATATAATGATGATTTCGTTTCAACTTCTAATTTTAAGTAACCCTACTATAGGTAACTATTAATTATGATTTTTCCAATTTTTCTAAGTGATATATTTTGGATAAACTGTGATAGACGGTAACTCTTGAGCATTTTTTTTTTGAAAATAATGTTGAATTAAAGTGATATTTAAAACACTAAAAGAATTAAACGTTTTTGAAATGGCACTTTAAAAGTTACATTTTTTTTAAATAATAAGAAAATTTTTTCAAATAACAGAAAACTAGACATTTATAGGTTCAAGTGATGAAGCAATCGTTTAGATTTTAGCTTATCATGTTCAATAAGATTGATTGCCCAGAATGGCCTCCACGTATGTTTACTGTAGGTGAATTTATTTTAAAATATCGAAACTTTGTTACTTATGATCCAGCTTATTGTTTTATATATCAACTGTTTTAATGTCTTCTAATGTATTGGCTTCCCCAGGACGATGCGATTGATCCATATTATACGTTGAAAAGCGAAAGATGAAATCACTAAAACAATCTTAGGCATCGCCTGAGATTGGACCAAATGTTTACGATGCTATTGACAGATAAACTCAAATAAGATAAATATACAGACTTGCATACATTACACTGACTTACCTTACCGCCTAAAGAAGCGGCACTTGCATCTGAGCGTTGCTTATTCATTGGCGTAGTCATCTCCCACTGGTTCTTATCAGGGTGATATCGCTCTACAGAGGTCATCCGGGTCCGGC